GAGGTTTAGCCCAGGGTCTAATGATCAATTATTTTTAACTATATTGTGCATTATATGTAACAACACACTCAAGTCATGATACGATATGTATCACAAAAAACGGGGTTGTGATACAGTTATATCATGATTTTCTATGATCTTAAAATATCAAAAAATCACATTGAAGTCAGATATGAATATGAAATATTTTCATTTATCTGACAGTACAATTTTTAAAAATACTCTTTCTTTTCTTCCTTTATTAATAAAGGTTATACTTTTGTAGTATTATAATAACTAATAAAACAAGGAATATTTTTCCCTACAAAAAGTGACACTCATTATTTTCAAACTAATCCTGAATCAACATGTATAGCACAAAAAAAATTATATTGTTAGTAGGGGGTGTTTCTGCTGGAAATATCAAATGATGAAATGGAGAGACAGACTGATTACCTTAGAATGTATTCAGCCGAGGTCAGACAACAGCAACAGAACACACACGGCTGATAACAGTCTTTCTTATGTTCTGTTAGCAGGTACAGCCTACAAATTTATTTCCATTTGGATACACTTATAATATGCTAGAAAGGTGACATTACCTTTGTAAATGTCAGACGTGTAAATGTCAGTCTTAGCAAACATTGTTTTCTTTTCAGCTCACAGCATACCCTTGCCTCCTATATAGCTCTGCTGCTATGAGATGTCTTACACATATGTAATACAGCTACTCAGCCCTTAAAGAAGAATTACCCTAAGATGGTAGAGAGATTTAGAGATTTTTCTAGTTCTTGAAAAGTTTGGTCATTACAACAAGCTCTAATGTGTTATTTCCATAGACTGTAAATATTAATGGATGAAGCGTGAGTGACATCACCCATCTGTTCCTGCAGGGGGCTTTGGAAGCCCATCGATGGAGGTCGCCATGCTGGAAATACTGTCTCACCCTAATTTCAGTCAACCTAAGGACAGGATAAGAGCTGGAGCTGACACAGGTTTTAAGCTTCTTGACAAACTGTTACATCACGCTAGCCCATCAGTCTTTTCTCTCCCTGTGCAGTGTGTGCCGATAGAGACATGAGCTAATCAGGCCAATTTTGCTTTTTTGAACCAGGCCGTAAACATGTTAATTTCTGCTGTAAAAAATGGGCTTGAATTTCTGTGTATGTGACTTCCAGTGCGTCTGCAGACACTTGACGAACTGCAGGATTTTGTACTTCTGCATTGGCTTCATTTTTCAACACCAGATGTTGCCGCTTGGTTATCTCCAAGGCTGTCTGTATGGTCCTGTATAGTTCACTTCACCCTTTATATTCTACGTGTAAATGCCTCCTATTATATTTGTATTTTTCTTATCTATTCTGTTTGATTTTTTTTTGTACTAGCTACTTGTCTTTGTGCTGCTGCATAGACAGCATTTCCCCTCTGGGGATCAATAAAGTATCATCTTATCATATCTTAAGCGCCCTCTGCTGGCCAAAAAGGAAAGCTGCAATATATTTTTGTCTAATTGGTTTAAATTGTCCTTTATTTGTATTGATTTTTAATTATATCTTGAGGTATCATTCCAGCCCTAATGTGGCTGCCTGCTTTTCCTTTCTCTACATTTCCTGAACATTCTCAGAGATGTACATTTCTCACGTGTTTTCAACATTTTTTGCCCTTTCAGTTTTCTTACGTGCTGTTTTTTTTGTTTTTGTTTCTCCAGGGAAGATGAACATCAGGAGAGGGAGAACAGAGTAAGAAAATGTAATAGTGCTGGTGATCAAGAAAACCTGATTCATAACAAAGACATTAAAAAGGAAGAAACAAGCGTTACAGCACATGCAAACTAGCATCATTATTTCCCCAACCTTTGAACAGGACATTGCTTTATGTCTCACTTTGAGAATGTGGGTCAAATAGTGTAAATCCCTGCACATCTTCTAAAATTGACTTGATCAACCTTTATTGGAAAAAATAGACAATAAAGAGCTGCTATTGATGTATTGATTTTAAAGAGTATGTTCCTGTTGCATGCAACAGTTTTACAAAACACTGGTCTAATAAGCCCAAAGACACAACCCTCTTCTCTAGTACATACCTCCATCTACTCATCAAATCTATACTGTGTGTGTGTGTTATTCATATCTCCAGTAGTCTATTGGAAACCAATGTTTACCACCGCAAAAAATCTAATTCACTGGCACTACTTCCAAAATTCAATCAGCAATGATCCGCTTTGCAACTTTTACTCGAGGCCATATTTCTACCTGTTTGTAGTAGGCTGACTGGTTGACCTAATTAGCTTACTTCACAATCTTGGAACTATTGGAAAAACCACAACAGCAGCATTAGACAGCTCTTCCTTCTTTAATTAAAATGTCAAAATCCTACAGCTCCTTTAATATTGATCCTAAAGCGGATCACTGAAAAACCTACACAGAGATCCCAAAGTCTGAAATAAGATCTCCAATATCTGCACATTGTCGTTCCCTCGATAACAGTGAGAATATAATTATGTGAAAAGAGACAATGAGCAGACAAGCATATCAATCAAAACCAAGTCCTCCTCTGGCTGTAGAGTATCAAGTGTTTCTATCAACCCTGTTATGTCCTACACAGGTTGTTTTAGACTTACCAAACACAATGATGTATCCAACATTGAGCAGCGTGAGCCTGTTAGTGTGTTTGTGCTCCATCGACAGAAAAAACTCAAGGTTGAAAAGTGAATGTGGAGATACTCATTTTGCTGTTGTAGCCTTTTCGGGGGCACAGATACAGTGACAATACTGCAATATATGAGGAATGTGTCCTTATTTAGACAAGACTGTCTGTGTGCCGCGTTGGAGTGAGGGTAGACGGAGAGCTGTCATTTTGTGAGAGCTCAGTTGTCGGACACATTTGGCCTACTAACATGCAACGTGACAGTATGTGATGGATGGGTAATTACTGTGATGATCGATGGTTTCCAGTGCAGTGCTGCAGCAGTCGGAGTTTGTGTCTCTGTGATTTTTTGTTGTTATTGTTGTTATTAATGTGAGTTACACAGGGAGATGCAGCAGCAAATTAACAAATCAAAGGTATGAAAAACATACACCATTCCATATCCACTTCAATCTAAGTCATTTTTGTCAATATGCTTAATTTTTTTTTTGGGTGGTGGTGGTGGGCGGGAAGCTTAGCATGTAATTTTGAATAAAGCTTTTCAAGAGATTATTGGTGTTTGTATAAGTGTGTGTGTGTGTGACAAAATGACAAAATGAGGAGAAAGAACCCCCAGCAGCACCTCAACCCATCTGACTGTGAGAGCTTAAAATTTCATGCAGAGACAGCAGCTGCAGCTCTTCCCATTCCTCTGACACACACACACACACGCACGCACACACACGCACACACACACACGCACACGCACACACACATATGCACACACACACACACACACACACACACACACACACACACACACACACATTCACAAAGTGTGCCAGCGGTTGAGTGATGTTAGAAAACATGACAAAACATCTATTAAAAAATGTCTTCACTTTGATAGAATTTGCCAAAATAAACTGACAAAACAGAGAAAATTAAAACTCAATTGAACTACGGCTACTGCAGAATAATCAGACATTTTCCACCTTTCATGTTTATGTTTTGATGGAGCATGTGTTGACTTTTTTGTTTTAACTACACAATCCAAATAATAATTTTTTTAAAACAGTATAGCTTTGTAGCTGTAATAATTTGATGCATTAGCTACAACCCCTTTGCACAATGATTTATGGGTAAAAGAAAAAGTCGGTCCACTCACATCATGAAAGATACTAAGCCCCTGTCCGGCGCTGTGCAGCGGCTGCTGCTGCTGCTGCTGCTGCTGCTGAGCCCGGAGATGCTTCTGCTTGGCGGACTGCAGGCACATAGTGATCATCTCCGTACAAGCCAGCATCTTTGATCTCGTCCAGACACACCTCAGATCAGATGGGTAAACTGTAGACGGGGAAGAGGTTGAAGCTAAAGTATCGCTGGAGGTCTGGAGGAGGTGAAGACTGCAGGTGAGACACAGAGAGGAGGTGAAGTCGAGCGAGAAGGCAGGCGGGGACTCGGAGAGATGCTCTGTAACTTTGTGTTGTGCTGCTGATGCTGCTGAGCAGAGCTGCCCGCCCCTCCTTGCCAGAGCCGCTGTGATTGGCTCGTTTATCTGAGCTCTGCACCTGGATCAAGATCTCTGTGATCTTCACTAAGACCAGAAAGTATCCCTATAATCGGATATCACTTTTTAAACCTGAATTAAATGCAGACCTAATCCTATAGCCTATTGAAATGCTCAACAAACTTTGAAATATCAAAAATAGCCTATCCCAAAGTCCAAACTGCAATGCGATGCAATGGATTTATTGGATGACATCACTCTTTAAAATGCAATTAATTCCCCTGTGTCGTTAATAATGACGCTCTGGGATAAACTATAAACTTCAACTTTAAATATTAACGATGTTTAATGATGCGTCCATTTGCTAGTTCATATCCACTCCAACTTTTCAGTGTTCAATAGAACTGTTATTTTGACAAGCATTGCCATCTGCTGGGTGTTTGGAGTCATTGCTCTAGCCTTTTTTTTCCTTTTTTTTTTAAACATAAGTTATAGGCCTATTTACCATTTCTCCAGTAGTTAACTGTGCCTTGAAACTGCTGTTTGAAAGGTCTAGGTTGATGAAAGCCCACTAGAATGCAGGAATTGTAAACCTTGTAAATAACATTATAGGGAGAACAACTAAAAACCTACATGTTTAGTTGTTTTCAAATTGTTTATTTAACATTTAAAAGTTTTGACTTCACACTTTAAAGGGGTTAGAAAGGGGCGGGGCTAGTGATGTGAATCATCTGGGTGAACGAAGTGAATCACTGACTGAAACTCAACTTTAGTTTGCGCTCTCCTCTGTCCCGTCTCTTGTCTCTCCCTCTCTCTCTCTCTCTCTCTCCAGACCGCAGGAGTCGCTCAAAGCCCCCCCCCCCTCTCTCTCTCTCTCTCCCCTCCCATGTCAGCGATAGGCTGTGCGATCCTGTTAAAAGTTTCTCTTCCTGATCACGGGTCAGTTTCGCTTTCCGTTCTACCTGCTGTCATCGGCCGAAGACGAAGCAGTCGTCAGAACAGGACAGGACACCGCCACAGAGGAACACAACAAGTATATTTTAGTTCACTTGAGACTGTGACCAGCCTTTATTTGGACTTTTAAGCCGAAATTGTCACCTTTAAGTCGACTGCAGGAAGTGTGTTGGATGCGGACAGGACTTCAACAACGCGACCTGAAAAGGTTGAATGTAAACTTTACTTACAGAGATCTCTGTTTTCATATTAAAAAAAAAAAAATCGTTATATTTACGCCACATGTTATGTGTTACATGTCGTTTCAGGCCGATCTATGGATTCTGAAGTTAAAACGCGAGACAATCTGACAGAGGGTGAGCAGGTCAACTTAGTTTCGATTCTGTAATAAAGGTTCTTATATTATTTTATGTCACATATCCAATACAGAATCCTAAAAAGTATGTTCCCCCCCCCCCTTTAAATTAAATCATAAATCCCCTCAGAGGATTAGAACATTAGGAGCATTGTTGGGGTTTGTCATAAACTGCTTTGGACAGAGTTACATAACACAACAAGCAGTGCGATGCTAAGTTATCAGCTGTGGCTAAAGTGCAGCAGGAGTGAAGTGTGTTTATGAGAAGTCACGTAAAGATAGTCACTCTTCTTCTCTTGCTCTGTGTGGCAGCTGAGGATCTGGCCCTCTCTCTGAGTGAAGCCCTGTGCAGCGGGGACGGACAGGAAGCAGCCACACTGTGCCAGACACTGTCCCAGCTGTCTGTGCCAGTATCTGTCAGCATCAACACTCAGGCCTACCCTCAGGACTCCATCAGGTGGGGAGGGGGCACATCTGTGATTGTGTGGATTCAGGCATGCCTTTGTGTGTCAGCTATCCTTATACAGGCTAAAAACTGAACCCATTAATCTGGTTGTTCATGAGAAACACTCTCCCTCGTGTTCAAAGAGTTGAGTTTATTTTTAGATCGAGGAATTGTTCAGATTGTGTAATGGATGGGAATTAAGTATGGCAACAACAAGTGTGTGCACGCAAGTAGGTTTACTGTGACTTGTCCGTGTGTGGCAAACGTTGAGATCTGAAAATGATTGATTGTTGGATGCTTATTTGAGTAGTGATTGGACAACAAGCTTAAATAAATTAAAGACGGATAAGTTTGATTCTTTTGTTTTTTTCCTTCGCAGGTTGTGGGTTGGAGTGGAGGATGCTCAGTCAGAAAACTACATCCCAGTGACTGTCGAGGTCTCTCTTTACATCACAATAGCACAACTGAAAGAAAAGGTACAGACGTGACGGCAGCATTTACAGTAGAGGGTGTTCAACACTTATTTTACTACCTAAACAGCTGTATATATGACTACGGCTGGGAATCTTTGGGTGTCTCACAATTTGATTTCGATTCTTGGGGTCACGATTTGTTTCAGGATTTATTTTCGATTCACAACTAATTCTGGATTCATGGATTCAAAGTCTATTTTTGAATTAGTGCATACTTCAGGTTCTACTCCAGTCATCTATGAGACTGGCTGAATTTGGCATGCTACTGAGTTAAAGAGCTAGCCTTAGCACTTAGCAGGGAGTGACTGATTAGCGATTTTTGGAAGTTATGAATCAATTTAAAATCTCATAAGATAAGAATTTCGAAAGCCATATTCCTCCAAGCGGGCGGCCTGGGTTCAAGTCCAACCTGTGGCTCCTTTCACTCATGTCCTTCCCCACTCTCCCTTCCCTGTTTCCTACTCTGTCCACTGTCCAATCAAAGAAGGCAAAAAAAGCCCACAGATAAATCTTAAGAACTACATACATCTATACAAAAAAAATCCACAGTTTGTGCTAGAAAGTCAATGAGATGCTGTCATTGTGTTTTATTTTTTTAGATTTAGAACATTCTCCAAAACATGTCATATGAAATGTGCAAAATTCTGACATTTTTTTTATGGGATGCTGAATGATCAGTGTCTCCCTCATTTGGTGTTTCTAGATCTGCGACGACTTCGGCTTTGCCCCGGCGCTGCAGCGTTGGGTGATCGGCAAGCGTTTGGCTCAGGACCGGGAGACGTTGTACAGCCACGGTGTCCGTAAGAGCGGAGACAAGGTCTTCCTGTTTATCCTCTCAGCCCAGGCTGCTCATCTAACACGTCAACAACACAAACTGGACCATGAGCAACAACGCATAGAGGGTCAGGATTAAAACACACACACACACACACACACACACACACACACACACACACACACACACACACACACACACACACACACACACACACACACACACACACACACACACACACACACACACACACACACACACACACACACAGTACAGGGCTACAGATGAGTCCATTTATTTGGTGGTCCAAACAAAAAGATTCCCATTTGAACATAGGCTCATAATAATAAAAGTGATCTACTAATTGTTAAGAAGCATCATGATTGGGGGGAGGGGGTGATGTCATTCTGTGAAAATCAGCTCTGATTGGTTGTAGCTAAAATGAGTTAGTCATAAATCCTGTGTCCATTGTAATCTACATAAGCATAATTATTAGTGAAGGGGAAAAAGAAGTGAACTAACCTAATAACTAGTCCATTATGTAATGCAGTCTTGTCAGTGCTTGCTTTATAAAAGAAACATGTAGTGGTCAGATGTGAGACTATACTAAGACCTCACTGTTGATGATGATGTTCTGTTGTTAGGCATCATGGAGTCGATGCAGTCGATGCAGCTTTTAGCCAGAGGCCTTGGTGCAGTAGGTGGAGAGAAGCTGGCTCCTCCTCCTCCGCTTCCTCCCAAACCCCCGACTGTTAAGAAACCTGCTGTGCTCCCAAAACCTCAGGTCAGAATACAAACTCTGCATCAATGTCTGTATATATAGCATGTGACCAGGGCTTGTACAAACATACTGTGTGTGTGTGTGTGTGTCTATGTGCAGATGGGCTGGGCCTGTGTAGCTTGTACGTTTGTGAACAAACCCACACGTCCAGGCTGTGAGATGTGTGGTGAGGAACGACCCAAGGATTACTTTGTGCCTATCATCTACCAGCCGGACCAGCAGGAGGCTCTGCGGATTCAGCAGGAACAGCTGGCCATGCTGCAGTACGAACAGGTACAGTAACAGGGTTTCTCAAAGTTAAAGGTACACTTACACCACCTGACCATAATAAGAGAAAGACCTCGTGATCTTTTTCTGAAAGAGTACGACTGCTCTGTTCCAAATTTGTTTGTCCTTCTCTATAAATGTGAAAATGAATCCAAAAGACTCACAAATGTAATACTGATGCACACATTTCTGGCGTTTCCACTATCAAAAGTTGTAAAGGGTTCCAGAATAGCTGCTCTGTACCGTCATATTTTTTTTGCTACCCTTCTGTTGGGATGCCAAGCGTACGGATCCGACCCTAAAGGCTGGAACTAGACACACTGCAGTCCTTTTTTATTGGTCAAAAGAAAAGCCACTTCCCATGCGACAGCAAACATAGAAACGTGCAATCTTCAATATCCCGTGGATTTTGAGTGAGTCATTTCAAGGCTGTTTTTTTTTTTTTGTCAGCGTGTAGCAACGCCCCATGGACGACCCCGGAGGTGCAGACCTCTGCTGGACGTTCTCCATTGTTGTCCTTTGTTTACTGTGTCGCGTTCTTCTTCTTCGTTGAATTTAATGGCAGGCTTCACTGTGTCTAGCTGCTATGATGTCACGCTATTTCGTAGCTGATGTGACCAGGTTACACTCCGCTTACCAAGCAAGGGTATGGTTGCCCTGGAAACACAAGCAAGATCAGGGTTTAACGTACCAAACCGTATCGAACCACACCGGACTGCAGTGTGGAAACGGAGCTTTGGAAACCCCTCCAAATATAGTATCGTCCTGTACAATAGCAAAAATATGTAATTTCTACTTTTGGTACACCTTTTTGTTGATATTGCAATTTCAGAGCTGTGCAATGATGTGTTGTGTTTTTGCACTTTAGTGCTGACGTCTTTGTTATATATAAAGCTTTTGAATTCTTCATAAAACATGTACTGATTTCTGAAATGTAAAGACTTGATATCTGACATGTGGTTATCTAAGAGCCTCTTATGTTTGTTGTGGCTCTTGTTGAGGTAACATTTTTTTATGACATGTGTGATTAAGGCAGAACCAGTAGTGTATTTACATACAGCATAACTAACTACATTTCACATAAACAGTGGAGCACCACAGAATACAGTGAATACACATTTTTGGATTCTTGTGGAGACTTTCATAGCTGGTGCCAAAGAGCTTCTTTTTATTTCACTTTCCGATTCCTGAAAACACTATTTGTGATGACTCGTCATGAATCTCTGTTTTGTAATTGCCTCCTCATCTTGTGATGAAGGCTCAGCGGGAGGAACGTGAGAGGAACTATCTCTACCTGTTGGCAACAGAAGACCTGAACCTCATCTCCAACACCACAGAGACGGAGTGTCCCATCTGCTTCTCCCCCCCTGCAGCCAGAGGAGGGCGTCGTGCTAAGAGAGTGTCTGCACACCTTCTGCAGGTCTTAACACTATGATTCATTTTGCAGCTGTATTATATGTATGATCAAATGTGTTCTGTTCTTATCGGCAAAAACGTGCATTGGATGTCATTTAATGCATAATACCTTTTGATTTTCATTGGTGTTTCCTGGTTCAGGGACTGCCTTAAAGGGATGATAGTGAACAGTCAAGATGCTGAGGTGTCGTGTCCTGACAACTGTGAGAGCAAGCTGCTGGACCGAGAGATCAAAGCGGTGAGTGCAAGATTTTACCACCAGAGAACTTGTAGAATGGATGTCTATGGGAGTATAAACAGACAAACATATTAGTAATCCAACAGTTGTATGGCATTTTGTATTTTAGGGCCTTTATTGTAGAAACAGGACAGTGGATAGAGTTGGAAATCAAGTTAGGATAGGATAGGAAAGGATAGGATAGACAAGAAAGCTCAAAATACACATTAAACAGAATAGATAAATTTAGATAAATAAAAAATAAAAAATAAAAACAGGGGGTATATACAAGTACAAAATGAATGATGAAGTTAACTATGCAGGGAACTGAGACAGTATTTGCAGAGAATGACAAGATAAAGTGACAAGTCATGATTAAAGTGATTTGGTGTGATAAATAGCAGCAAGTAAACAGCAGAGAAGAGAGGCAGTGTTGTACCACAGTAATGCAGAGTGCAGTTATATAATATAATGTAGTATAATATAATATATTATAGTGCAATATGAACAATATAGTGTAATATAATGAAATGTTATATAATATAGACTAATATAATACAATATATAGAATGTACAGTATATATATATTGATGGTAAATAATAATATTAATAATAACAATAATAAGTTACCAAAAATCCTCTCTCGGGCATCAATAAACAAGTGATTTTTTAATAATTAACATATGAATAACCCCTCAGTAGCTGAACTCTTATTCTCTCTCTGCTTCTCTTCTAACATCTGGGTGATCCTGCGTACAGCTGCTCACAGATGAAGAGCACCAGCGCTTTTTGGAGTTGCGTCTGATCATCGCGGAAAGCCGCTCGGAGCACAGCTTCCACTGTCAGACCCCCAACTGTCGAGGGTGGTGCATCTACGAGGACGAAGTCGACGAGTTCCACTGTGAACTCTGCAATGCAACAAACTGCATCCTCTGCAGGGTATTTCAACACATTTACTCTATTAGCAGACATCTAACTAACCACTATTAGAATCAGTAATCCCATAGAACCAGAGCATCAAGTAAACTGTGCTTGTGTTTACAGGCCATTCATGACAACATGAACTGTAAGGACTATCAGGACGACCTGCGCGTCCGAGCGGAGAACGACCAGGCGGCTCAGCAGACCACTCTCATGCTGCAGGTAGGTTTAAATGAAAGCTGTGTGTGATGATCCCTCTGCACAGGAGTGGCTTTTACAGCTGCTGTCTGCAGTTGCACTTTTGATGGCACTGACAGTGAACAGCTGTGTGCTCAGTGATGCTTGAAAAGTGAGTGAATCGAGAAACAGATGTGAACACAACAGTTCCTGTGCAGCTCTACAATTTTGCACTGCTCAATATGCCAAAAACAAATACATGAAATTCTAATCTTCATTGGTTATAACGAAAGGTTTTTTAAAATATAAGGTGTAATTAAATACAGCTTTAGGTTCTTTAATTTATCTTTAGTCCTGTTAATAATTCATAGTGACTCATAAAGGGGAACAAAAACTTGTGTATGGATTGGATTCGTTCTTAGATGCCTCTTTATTTACTAACTCTTTTTTTTTTACATAACATTAACTTTAAGTGCTCTTTCGGCAGTTTGGGGTTTGCAAGAACTTGTAAGGCATTGTTCTTGCTTGTTGCACAAATTATTCAACAAAGTACATTTCCAATCCTGCATTATTATCATAAAATATCATCACTGATTGAATGCATGCGGTAAAAATTAGCCTAAACCGATAGTCACTTGATATGCTAACATCGTCCGATATTATCGGCTGGCTGATTAATCAGTCAGGCTCTAAAATAAAGGTATATCTCATCTTAATATTTACAATATTAGCTTTGTGTTTTTCGGCCTGGCACTGACCCTTGCTTAGAAAGATTTGTAATTTGTGACCAGCAGGTTGTCGATGTGTGGAGATGGTGTTATGAAAATATTTAATATTTTTGTGGTTCTGATGAATGTAAAAGTATTTGTATTTTCATGAATTTTCCATATGGCTACTTTACATTGATATGATTTCTCTGTATTTTGCCTACAGACCATGCTACAGAACGGTGAGGCTATGAAATGCCCACGGTGTGATGTCATCGTCCAGAAAAAAGACGGCTGTGACTGGATCTGCTGTTTGATGTGCAAAACAGAAATCTGCTGGGTCACTAAACAAGCTCGCTGGGGACCAAATGTAAAACATTTTTTGTACAGTATGATAGTGGTGGGCGATATAATGAACTTAGATCGTGAAGGATTTTAACTTGCTGACGATCTGCCAAAGCAGAGAGATCGTAGAACCGGGCTAATGTGTTTATTCTATCATGCTGCAGTTTATGCTCCGACACAGACTCGTCTCGCCCCCTCCTTTTTTGCTCCGCAGCGGTGAAAACGAAACTTAAAAGTAAAGTCCGCAAAAACAACTCCATCCCGGTTATTTGCAACTGTTCTGATATTTTTCCAAACTAACACACCATGAGCAACAGTTAACTTATCTGCATAGTTTGCACAGTTAAGTTTACATATCAGATAGCGACACAAGAAAGCGTTTAACGAGCCGGAGAGACGTTCACAGTCTGCAGAGAGTCAGACAGAGCGGAGCTCAGACAGTCAGTGATGAGAGATATAACCCCGGTGTTTAAAATGTTGCTGTCGGTATTTTCTGCTCTGTCTAAGTTTTTAAAAGTTACTATCAAGCCTCTCCACCCGAAGCTCACCTGTTGTGATAACGGGACCTACAGGTATTACACCAAACGACGTTACAAAGCAGCAGGCAGGTGAGAGTGAGTAACCATGGTGACTGTCTGTCTGTCAATCAACGATGTCCTGCCCCCTCTATGAATTAAACTGTTCTGTAGAAACACAAGAACTTGAAGTCTACATGTTTTTAAATGAATGCATCACTGCGTGAAAATGTTCCTGATGAACACAAAAAGAGGAAAACCTTCAAATTGTTCATAAATATTGATCAAATTAAGGGAAAGACATTTCTGGTGCTAAAGATGTTCTGGGTGAGAGACCTCCAGACCTCCTACAAAGATGTTTTTCAAATAGATTAAACTTGTCTGCACAGTTTTTGTGCATTTAAAAACATTATGCAGGGAAATTAGTTTGGTTGAACTGGTCAGTAACTTACAAATTAGTCTAAAGATCAGTATGAAAAAAATTGTGAGAAAATCGTGATCGTGATTTTCCCAAAATAAAAATCGTGATATGATATTTTTCCCATATCGCCCACCTCTACAGTGTGATCAGTTTTAAGGAACTTCATCTAACTTGTTTTAGAGTTGTTTGTGTGACTTTTTCTCTTTTTATTGTATGTTACAGGGCAGTGGGGACACATCTGGGGGATGTGGATGCCGAGTCAATAATCAGCCGTGCCATCCCAACTGCCAAAATTGCCACTGAGGGAAGAACACTAATGAACGCCAATGCAAGCACCTGCACTGTCTGAAGAAATGCATAACTCGGCTTGGGCTTAGGCTGCTAGCTTAATGCTGGCTATATGCAGGTCTTCTTTTGGTTTACCTTAGTCAACCTAATCTTAGTCATCTTTTCAATGTGGTAACAGCCTTCTTCTGCAAGTTATTCAATTGTAAGAAAACCAGCCTAACAGGTATCACTCCTGTTGTTCTCCCCCCTTTGGCTACTACTTTTTAACTACCAGTAAGATTGAGACTAATGAATTGGTTGGTGAGTGTTTCTACTACTCATTATGTAGTCTTACAATACACACCAGAATGAATACCTTCTTTTTAATTTAACTGAGCAGAATTGTTTGAGAACTTTAAACAGTGTACGTACAGTATAGTTTACCATTTTTGCTTGACGAATGTTTAGGATTATTATTTTGTTGTCAGTTATTATAGCAATATATTGTCTCTCAGTCAAACTAATCTGACTGTGGTGAAGGATGTTTACATTGAACCAATGTGTTCTTAAAGCAGAACAAGCTTCTCTTACGCACCTAAAGACTTTGAAGTATCAGGCTGACCAATGGCACAAAGAACGATGCTGTATCGTCTTCATGTTTTAAGCTCTATATCAGAAGTTATTTTTAGGGCCCGACCGATAGGGAATTTCTGTGTCAGAGAAGGGTACCAGTATTAGGAAGAAACTAATTCTAATACTGGGGTTAGGGGTTATATATCGACCGATATCTTTTTTTGGATCTTCGGTCTTAAGAGATGCTGTTATCCAAAGAGCCGAAGATTTTTTTTCTTCAGTTAAACAAAAACCTAGTTACCTATTTTAATAATAAATATAAACCTAGTTATATCAGCAAATATTGGAGATAAAATTAGCCAATACTGATAGTCATGTGATGTTTTAATATCGGCCAGACGATGAATCGCTCGGGCTCTAGTTGTTGTCATGTGTTCAGGAGTATAATGCTCTATTGATTACACAGCATATTTTGTGTACGCCCTAGAAGACTTGAGTTGCTCTTTGGTGTTTTTTTCTGGTGACAGTATTGCATGGCAGGCCTTATTCTAACAATGAACAGTGAAATATGCAAACATGTAGCTTAAAGAGCAAAGGATCCTACAAAGACAGCTGACAGGGTACCTTTAAGGCAACTTAAGCCAACATAGTGAAATGTTAAACTAAATCTTCTAAACGTCTGTCTAAATGTGTGTAAAGCATTGAATTTATTACCGTAAAGCAACAAATGAACATTGTGAGAACCAAGGACGTTTTTATCTGCATGGCTGGAAGACTTGACAGATTTGCACTTCTTATCTGGTGGGAGAAAGCGAGAGGAGTGATGTCTACTTATCTGGAGCCTCCTTTCTTGTAGGAGTCAGAGATTGAGTTCCGGCAGAACAGGTGTGCATCAGTTGTACCTTTTATGTGAAGTTCAATTGCATTTGATCCTGTTTTTACATTTATAAACAATCGCAGACCTGTATGTTGTTTGGATTATGGGCCAATCGGGAAGCTTGTAACCCATAAGAATGAGTGTCACATGTAACGTTTAAAAAGTGATGCTGGAACAAATGTCTTCTTTTTGCACTCTGTAGCCAAACCTTTGTATTCCTCTTTTTTTGTATTTGTGTTTTCTTCAATCTGGAGTATAAAATATTTTGCTTTATATGGAGTACATTTGTGTCTGTGTTTAGTATCTCTGTTTTTGGTTCTTGTGGAAGTCTGAGCAGGAAAAAATAAGGATCATAACAACACTCTCAGGCGCTGGTTGTTAACAGGCAAGACAGGCAACTGCTTGGGGCCACTCCAGGGCTGATAAACTTTAAACCACAGCAGTGGCCAAAAATTTGCTAATTCTGAGAAGACAGTAGGAAACCTCCCTAAGGTGGCCCCATCAGACATTCGTGTTGTCCTGCTGAGTCTGGGAGTTTAAAGGCTTTATGTGACTTTTCACTTAAATGTAATAGAAACCAAGTATATCCTCTGAAAATAACTGAGTAATGACTGTCTACAATGGGTGTAACACCCGAGTCCCACTGTCTGTGATGTTTTCAGAGTTTTATCTTCAGTTTGTTGACATCGCCCGGATGGCCGGCTGACTCCTCCCCTCGCGTATAAAAGTTGTTTAATTGAGGGACTAGAGAAAAGAAGAATAACATACTGTACTCACTGCTTAACTGTGTTTCTAGATCACGCTCATTTCAGGTAAATTTACATGCAGTGTGAAGATACGAGCATAATAAAGATCGCTAGCATTAGCATGCTAACAACAATGCAGTGAGTTGTTTTGGTTTCATGCTGGTGCTCAAGGGCGACACCTGCTGGATCAAAAAATGGCATATAAAGCCTTTAAAAGAAAGAGGACCAAAGAGTAAGTGTTGAACCCTGGTTGTAGGGGCCTAGTATCCATTTTTTTGAATGCCTAGGGACCAAACAGATTCTAGAATCGCCACTGGCAACACTCTTAAAAGGTGTTTTCAGACCAAACAGTTCTGGGGACTTTTTAAAGAGGAAAAATTACATTCGCACCACCAAGGTACCTTCTCTGAAGCAGGAGCTAAAAAGGCTCCTCTAAACAGGGTTCTAGGAACTAAAATAGTTCATAGTTCCTGCAGTGCAGAATCAACAAGGGGGACAGTTCCCAGAACTATGAAAAAGTTCCTGCTGACCAAAAAGGCCTACAATTGCCTGCAGATGTTTAACTTTGTCCAAACTAATACAAAACCATTTTGACTCTAGTTTATTAGCATTTTCTTGTACAACTTGACATTAGTAAGACAGATTTGTTATAACAAAATAAACATAAAAGGCAGATAAATCTTTTAGTGCAATGAAAATAAATGAAAAACCAGAGTGTAGATACATTGTGTTACAATACTGCTCAACTATTACGACTCTCAGGCACCTCAGAGTGTAGACATGTTACAAAACACCTTCATGTAGTTTGTTCATCCCATATTGGATGAATCAGTGGTTCACTAAAGAAGGCAATAAACCTAACCAATCAGGGAATAACAGAGGAATGGGATGTATGTGTTGACTTTTTGTTTGTTGAGCTGAAATGATACGTTTGTAGTTGGACTGTTGAGCTGCAATGCAGGTGACCTTGGAAGTTTTTTTTTCTAATGACATCAAAAAGATAATAGGCAACCAAAATTCATTATCTAAGAAAGAAGTGCTCTGAAACTATTCCCTGTTTGTTTGATTTTTAAATACTTTGCTATCCAGCAGAGTGTGATGCCACCTAAGCAAAGCCCTATAACTGTTCTTTAAACATGTGATTGGATGAAAATGACTGGAACATTGGAATAAGCTGGACCAATCCTAAAACTGAAATGCTACACTCAAAGCAATCGAGCTAACCAAATGACATGTGCTAATTCCTGTTTAAAACAAACAAACTAAAAACATTGGAAAATAAAGAATTTTGAAGGCTGAGGCTGCTTCCAGAGAAAGTGATCAAAGCACCTACCAAAGTCAAATGTAAGTGATTTAGCTAAATTAGATGTGGTCAGTGCAAACTAGGTCCCCCACTGTGCAAACACAAGGACTATGATATCCACTTCATTTGAATTACGATTCATCACTTCTCTGATATTTTCTGCTAGCAGGCATTGAGTGAGTTAGTGTTAAATCATGGAAAGAGATTAAATCATCTACGGGGGAGTGGAAAACTAGAGTTTTCTGGCCATGAAACACAGACACACTTTTAAGAGTATGCAGCCCGATAGTTAATTAAGCGATTAATTGGAAACAATGAAACTGTTCCAGGCTAGTGGATTGTTTTTACTTGAAGCACTGTGGAAGTTGAATTCTTGTCTGGAGTCTAATCTTCAAATTTAAGGTTTTAAGATAAGAAAACTAGTCCCAAGGAGGCTACGATAAAGTTACCTTGATAACCCCACTAACACTTAGTGTGAAAAACCTTTTTACAGTTAGGTTTCACTGACCCTAAAATGAGCCACCATAAATATGTAACTGTCAACAGTCAGTCTTAAGTTACTCGGCCCAAGAAAGAATGACGTTTTTCTCTTAACTGTAAAAAAAGGCGTTTCTTGAACTACTCCAAGCAACAAAGAAATCCTAAAAACGTCGTAAAATTGTGACTTTAAAAAGTGTCTTTGTTTCATGATCCCTCTACAGCTATTATGAAGAAATAGTTAACTATACAAAGAGAGGACTCTAACTCATCCTCTGTTTGGTCTCAGTCCAGGTATCAAATAGATAACGCCCAAACACACACACACACACAAACTTTCATTCATGCACTCTAGCTCTCCTAATTGGCAGCAGTTTCAAGTGTAATGCTTCAACCAAGCTATCAGAATAAATCTCTGTGAGCATAACTTGATATCCGATTATCCTACAACCAAATATAAATAAGCTTTAATATGACACCATCGGTTCTAGTTCTTAGAAATACACTTTCCTAATTACAACAGGATGGATTCTTCATTTTACAACACGAGCAGCCGTTGCTGTTACATCGGTTAACCCTCTTCAGGAGTCATAAAAAGGACCCTCCACAGGATGTTTTTGACCCATGCTAGTGGAGGAGAAGCAGAGTGTTAACTGATTCAGTTCAGAGGGAACACTCCAGACAGTGTTATCGACTGAAAGGTTTGTGGTTTAATTCTTTAAAGGGTTCTTGGAGACAGACCCATCATCTAGATTCAGTCAAGGACATAAAGTTCAAGGAAACAAGTCCAGCTTAGGGGCCCACTCCAGGGCAGTGTTGACCACAGCCAGAGCTGCTGCCCCCAAAGCCACCGTCAGGCCCATGACAGCCAGTCGGACAAACCGCCGTGCAGTTGAAGGCTGGGCCACCGCCGAGCTCGCTGCTGCAGCTGCTGCTGAGCTCTCCAGAGCAGCCTGTCGTTGTCGGCGGCGGCGACGGAGGACAGAGTCTGGTCGCTGTTGGGTGGAGGCAAGGTCAAAGTCCTTAAAGGTAGATGACGCCATGCTTAGGAAGAAAACGGACACAGAGGGAACCAAGACAGAGAGAAAACGAGTGTTAATGAAAGAATAGGAGAAGAAAATAGAAGTATGAAACTATAAAATAATATATTAAAACTAAAGGGTGAGGCAAGATGATTATTGTGTCAAGAAATATTCAGATTTCAATAGTAGTAAAATAGCTTTCTGTAAAATGGAAGTAACTGAAGAAGTCATTGGTGTAGATTTTTGGTACATGATATTATTATTATGCACAGGGTCGTATTATATATTGCAAATTTTCTGCAAAATCTTACCACACCAGAAAATACGCAACACAGCATTATTCACATCTTTGTAAAAACCTGGTACATTCAGTTCCTATGCAATTATAGCAATATGCAACAGACTACACTGCAATTGATGTCGGAAAAGTCACTATAAATCTGCATGAGATTGAAACATCACTTCCATCAGTTTGATAATGGCTACTGGAAATTGGAAAAGCATATTGGAAAACTACGATTGCCATTATAGTCACCCTCGGGAGTTAAGTACCTCTCATGTGAGGCGGCCTCTTTGGCCAGTTCAGAGGGAGGGAACTGGACAAAGAGGTCTCCTGCTCTGCTGATGAGGGTCTCATAGGGCAGATCCTGAGGAATCTGAGAGAGCAGGTGATGAACCATGGCCATGTCACATTCACACTCCAACACTTCCTCTTCTCTGTACAGTACGATCTGCAACACAGTAGTAAGCAGTTGTTGTTTTTTTACCCATTGTAAATGCATAGACTTTATTTGACATCACTGGGAGGATCAGCTTAGCCAAACAGAATCAGAAATACTTTCTTTATCCCCAGCAGGAAATTCGGCTGCCAGAGAAAAATCAAAAGTACAATCAAAAGAAAGAAGAATACAGGTAATTAAGAGTTAAATAGGAAAACAAACTGTAACAGGCTGCATGTAAAGTTGCCGCAACTCTTATAACCTCAAGACCCACCACTAACTCCTCCCTGAAAAACTGTGACCCAAATTTCTGATATTTTTCAACCAATCAGATTTATTTAATGAAAAATTGTGCAGTTTGCAGCTTCCGTTATGTTTTGTAGATCAAACGATGCAAAACATCAGACGGAAGCAATAAACTGAACAAAAACTGAACATTTTTTAAAACGCACCTGACAAACTGTTTGACACCAGGTTTTTTCCAGGCACATTTTAACAACCCATTAAAAACAGCTCCACGACCCACCAGTTGAAAATTACTTCACGAGATCATCAACTTGTCTTTTTTTATGGTTTCATACAGCAGCGGTCACTTGTGTGTACAGAGAAAAGGCTTAATAATGCACAGTACAGGAAGGAAACTAACCACAGCAGCAAAGTAGATGGGCATCAATGGGTGGCAGGCCAGGAAGAAGTCATACAACCGGACCACATGGCGGAAGTCTGACAGGACGTGACCGAACCAGGTGATCAGCCAACTAAGAGCAAAGACTGTGCCCACCTCAGCCCTGAGAAACAATGAATACATGGTGTCAATTTACAACAGCAATAAAAACATTTTTAAAAAATCTCTAATTGGCACTGAAAGATATAACGCCGCAGTTATGTCAGCCCTCCAAGTCACTCACTTCATGACCTGTGTCGTAAAGTCCTTACAGAGGACACTCATAATAGGATCAGGATGCTGTAAGCCCAGTTATCCTTCTCCTCGACTTAAAACCATTGGTCTTTTGATGTAGGCATGCTGAGTTTTAATATGATCTTAGCTGATTTTAACGCTATTAAGATCAATATTGTTATAGGTGTTTCATAAAGCCAGTGAATAAAGTAAAACAATCCAATTGACATATTGTCCATGATATGGGGGATCATTGCTAAAGATTGTCTTGCAGAAGATTCAGTTATTTTGCAGCAGTTGCATGCAGCATACTCAATTTCCTGAACACACTATGAATATTGCATTGTGGATGTCTCACATATCATAAAACAATAATGATTGCAGAATGAAAGCAGTTTCACATTACACATAATAGATTCTGAAACCCTCCTGTTACCCTCATGATGATAGATTCATATTGAAAAACACTGATTCAGAATACATACACTTAATAACCAAAATGTATTTCTCTAGGACAACAGACACTTACAGAAGAAAAGTGTTGAGTAGGTAGGATATATTTCATGACCATAAGGAAGCTATATTGGATATGAGGCGCTTTAAAGGTCACACATAAAATAGACTTCATCATATTTTTCTAACCCTAATATGTGTCACTAGTCTGTCTACAAACCCCAATGACAAAAGTCCATACTCTCTGTCTTTTGTCTTCTCCACTTTTCAGAAAATATGTGCTCAAACAGGCAGTTTGGAGATTTTCACTTCATGACATCACAAAGGGCATTATCCCCTCCCCCTGGTGGGTGAAACTCCCACAGCTAGGTGTTTGTTCTGCACTCCGAGTTTGCCTCCTCACTGTAAACAATTGGGCATGAGGGGTTTATGGGCATAATTAAATACAGGATCAGAGTGGATTATTTGCAAGAAACTTCACAGACATGTTTTGGGGACCTCTGAGACTTATTTAAACTGGTTGAAAGGAGAATAATATGTGACCCTTAATTTTTGCCAATTTCTGGCTCAAGTATAGCTGCATTACCGTGCAAATTATGTTCAAACGACATGTGTTTCCTTTTGCAGTCTTCAATGTCTTACAGATGACCATTATTAACATGCAGATCCAAATTTAGTTATCACTCAAACGGAAGAGGTTCTTACTGTTGCATGAAGTCATGCACGTCAGGGTTGACCCTCTCAATGATGGGCATCAAATAGTTTAGAATGTGTTTTGTGTTGTCCATGGTAGGATCCATGAAGTCCCTGAAAGGAGGATAAAACATGGGGGTTTAATAAGATGCTGTTGAAGGAGGTTAAAAAAAAGAAAGGATTTGTTTTATTTTATATTGTGAAATTTGAAAGAGAGTAAGACAACTGAAAATAAATGGTAGGTAGAGGAAAGAATCTGCTGCAGTAGTACCTGAGATGATGCGTGGAAAGCTTTTCAACAAGAGCAGTTGCAAGTCGCTCTCCCAGGACCAAAAGGAAGGTGACAACAATGTCATGGTATCCCTGGTAGTAGTGCAGCTGAGGATTACGTTTCAGAACAACGAGGATGATGTCAATGAGCTCTTCCTGGAGACCCTCCCTCTGCTCATCTGGCATTCCTTTACAAGAACACACAAAACCAAATTACACTCGTTTTCATTCTATTTAGACTTTTGGTATTATTCCTCAGCAATGACTGTAAATATAAAATAACTGAGATGCAGCAAAACCCACTCTTATAACCCATTCAGTCATAGTTTGTCTCTGCAGACTATTAAAGACGTGGGACAAATTAGATTTAGAAACAGTGTTTTTTGTAATATAAACTCATCAGCCACATAGAAGATAATACAATGACAATACAGGTAGTAATGCAAGCGAGATGGACACTAGTAGTGGAGAGTGAAGTCCAATGGACCAGGGAATTGAGTAGAACTTGCTTTCATGTTGTAAAATATATATGCACATATAGTGTGACTGGGAGTGGACTGTATCTGTGCAACATGTCGCATTGAAGGCAGCGAGCAGCGTTGAACTGCAAGTCTAATGACAATGATTTTAAATATGTAAAATAAATCCTTTATAAAATCCTGCAGAGAGATAACTTTGTGGAGTTAAAGAGTATAAAATATGGCTGCACCTCTAAAGAGCTCTTTTGGAATTTATTAATGTTCCAAGTTGACTACCAGCAAAAACAACACTAGAAACAAATAATGGCAAGGCTTTAACTCTGTGACCCACTGAAAGCTAACACATTTTGAACACCTAAAGTGAATACAATTCATTTGCAGAGGTCAACAAATGAATGGTTGTGCACCTAATGGTGTATGTGGCAACGTTGTTGACTTTACTGTAAAAAGAACTTCTAACAAATTCAGAAAAACTTAACCTGGCGTCTACCCCTGTCACTTGCACAGATAATGTCGAAAAACCCTTGAAGTAAAGTAGTGCCTGCGCAGTATATGTGCTGGCACATTTTATTTCTAACCTCAATCCCGACATGTGGTACTCAGGTCTGGTGCACAAAAACTGTCATGCATCAGTGTTTCTGCGCAATCAAGCACACAGCACAGCATGTGGAAAAAGTCCCACAGGTAGGGTTTTACTCACCAGGGGGGAACCTCCGCAGTGAGCGCTGGACATCAAGCAACACCTGGTTGTAGTCTTTGTTATTCTCCCGCTCTACCTTTTCTGGACAAGACATTTCACCATCAGTAATAGCATATATATATAGTCAAATACTGTGTGTTGGACACCTTGATCCTGCGAAGACTCTTGTGTTTTAATATTTGACATGCAGAGTGGATGTGTGATCCTTGTTGCTCTGTTCGGGGTAAATGTGGCAAACATGATACCTGGGTCCTGATCCAGGACGCTAGGGGGCACGTTGAGAAGCCGAGGCCAGACTTGACAGCGTATCTCATCAGTCAGCAGCCCACCTTCACTGATAGCCATCCTCCTCAAAGCTGCCACATCCACTGGACTTGCACTCAGGGCCTGTGTGATATCCACAATTTTCCTCTTCCGCCTGGTGTCCCAGTCTAAGACACAGCAAACACTAGTGTTACTTCTAATGCTGCTGGTGTAAGTTTACATAATAGGTGGTGAAGTTAGCGAGCTGAAACAACAGGGGGGGGGGGGGGGGTCATGCTTCTCGCATTAAAAATGAATGTAAAATGTGTTCACGCTGCTGAAATGTCAAAATCAGGAGAAGTAGAAACTCGGTGAGATGTCAACACACCACGTTACCTTTTTTCCCGTTCACAGGTGACGAGGCACCAGCACTTCTGGAGTTCTTCATGTCCACTTCTTTATGTCCCCCCCCCTGTCAGATAACATTACTTGACATTCTCCTTTGTTAGGCTAACCTCTGTTCAGCCCGCTTTTCGTAGCTGTCTTAATTAGCAAGGCCAGCTTCATACAAACACGGCCCGATATTAGCTAGTTATCGAGCTAACGCCACACTGTCCCGGGTCAAAAAACGCTACTTTAAGCAACACAGCCATATTTTTTTTTCGGACAACCGATTAACAAGTTCAGAGTAAGGAGTCGCCGCATAATGGCAAAAAGACAGTCACATCGAGGAAACAGCTACATGTTTACATTGATGTGAGCGACCAATAGGATACAAACAGCTTTAGCTAGCCTCCCCGCTCAGCCGGAGTGATGACGTAGCACCAAGATGACGAGGAGGGGGAGGGGCTAGCCTCCCCGCTCAGCCGGAGTGATGACGTAGCACCAAGATGACGAGGAGGGGGGGGGGGGTCTACCTTATCAGCTGTTTCTGTAGAAGCTTCGTTTTTGAGTTTCGTTTACAAAGACTCACTCATTGTTATGCTCATTATGATTTCTGGGAAAAAAAGTTTAATTATATTATTTTCTTATTTTCTTTTCATTTTTTTTTTTTTTACTAGTAATTTACCAGGAAGTCCCATTGAGATAAACATTTTTAAAAAAAAAATCACTTTGACAAGAGATACATGGCAGAAACACATTAAAGACCAAGTTAAACAACACAACATGGGTTAATCACACACGCTGAAACAGGAACTGACACATAACCCAACCCTAACCCAAAAAACAACCACATGACTTATAGTGTGTCTAATTTGAGCTATTTTTTGAAGATCTTCCATGCCCATGTCAAAATCAGAATCAGAATCAGAATCAGAATCGGTTTTTATTGTCAAGTAAATTTACACATACAAGGAATTTGTCTTGTATAAGGAAATGAGCAAAAATAGCAAGAACTTACATAATAAAATATGGAAGCAATTACAATAGCTAATATACAATTTTAAAATGTAAAAATATAAGAAATAAAAAAAAGTGCAAAGTGTGCAATGGATGATCTGTGCAGTTTGACAATGACACAAAACTTGCAGTATCTACTCAGAGTGCATGTAAAGAAAATACATTTACAGTCCAGTGGGCGTTAATGTAACGCATAAAAACAGTTCCAGCCTCCACACTGTGCTGTTTTCTGACTGTGGGGCAGTGCAGTAGGAATAAGCGGAATTCCACAAATCTGTCAAAATAATAATAGCACATTACTGGTGTGCTCATTGGGTCATGGTCAATAACAGAGCCAACATCATTTGGATCAGCCACTTACTCCATCACATTACCAAAAGCTAAGAAGTACCTAAAAGCTTACATAACTCTTGGTAGTGTTACAAGATAATGTCTTGGCTTACATTACATTAGCCTCCCAGAATTAAACTATATGCCTAGTTAGCTTGAAAGCAGTTGAATGTTTGCTGCTATCTAGGAAACTGGCAGGCAAATATGTTGTTCAATTTCCCATTTTGACCTTGTCTCTCCACATTTTCACTTTCAATAGTCTTCAAATTTGCTGAAAAACCAGGAAACCAGGAGGTGGTGAAATGAAACCTTACAGTTTTACAACTCACAACCTTGAACAGAGAAGTTTATCATTAACAGCGTTAATGTCAGAGGGCAACAGGTGTCCTGTAAGCGTTTTGAAATCCGATTTTATGGTTTAGAAACTACAGTACACCCTCCTAATACACTCACTGTTGTCACTTTTTTGCAAACTGGACTCTTGCCTGCTCTATTCAGCTAATTGTGTAACTGTGATGAAGTTGTTTTTATCCATGTGTAAATCTAGGCCATTTAAGTTTTCATGCCCTGCCCTTAAGAAACCAGTGATTTGATTCATAAAAAAGGGTATCATAATGGCTCATGCTAATAATCTGCTTTAAACCAAAGGTGCAGCCATATCTGTAAATGAATACAGACTGGAGTTGGTTGAGTAGTCCTCTAAGGCCATCAAATCCACCTGTCATACATGCTTCAGTGGAAGAAACAACTCCAGGTATGACATTTTGTTCACAGTCATTTAGATAATACATTTACTTTTAAAAACATGATTGGTACTTAGGGATAGTTCAACAATTTCAAGACAGTGTTTTAAAATGTTTCAAAATACTCAACCTTATCTAGGCTATTAAAAATTGGACCACTGTTCTCAGACTTCTGGGCACTATTACCCATGTAGGTGTCACATTCATTTGACAGGGCTACAACTAAACTGTGTTGATAATGCGTCTACACTGTTTTTTGTTTTGTTTTGTTTTTTGCCACTAACAACCTACCGAAACTTTCGCAGACCGGGCAATGTTGTGCCCAAAGATGTGACTCATGTGCTTCTTAGTCATAATCCCAGTAGCCTAATGTTTCACATTGCCTGCTAGGTGTGGCGCGTTACCCGGTTTGATGTGATGAAACGAAAACGGGAGTGACAGAGCATTATATAAATAGGAGCTTCCTGCACTGACACAGAGAGTGCTGGCAGCAGCAGCAGGAGCAGCAGCAGCAGCAGCAGCAGTAGTAGAAGAAGAAGCAAGAGCAACAAGGGAGCAGCTCGCAGAGACTAGACTACCGGTCTGATAAAGATACATGTTAGTGTGAATACCATTATCACAAGATTTCAGGCTTGGTAAGTCCTACTTTTTATATGTCTTTCTTTTTTTTCGAAAGAAGATGCTGCTTTAGGGGATAGTAGTAACATTTGAGACAGCTACCTGTCATAGCTTACTTGTTAACTAAATTTAATATTTAGTTCGAATTAAGCGAAATAGGCCTACATGACTGTAAAATAATTAAATGCGGACATAAAATCAGGACTATGTGGAAAAGTATTCGTTGGGATGTAACGTGAGAATTAGAACAATTGGAAAAAAAAAAGCAAAAATTAGCTTGTTGTGTAAAGCAACATGCAAAGCTTCAGTATGCTCTCATCTTATTTCTGTAGAATGGAAACCTAATTGAACTCCCTCTATCATGTCCGTCCACTAGAGGTCGCACTCTGCATTTATATTTGTACATAATTTCTATTGCAAGCAAACAACACCCCGAGTGAGAACACCCAAAGTTAGAATTAGAAACATTGAAGAAAAAAAGAAAAGTGTTTGCAAATGTATTCGCGTGTTGTGTAAAGCAACATGCAAAGCTTCAATGTGCTCTCATCTCATTTCTGTAGAATGGAAACCTAACTTAACCCCTTATATCATGTGCGTCCACTAGAGGTCGCACTCTGCATTTATATTTGTACATAATTTCTATTGCAAGCAAACACCCAGGAAAAGAACTGGAATAAAATGTTTTATATCTCTCTGAATAGTTAAAATGTTGTTTGCAGTTCCCTTTGCTCAATAATAACCTTTTTCTTGATCTAGCAGACAGAATGGTTGTTTCTATTTCCTCAGAAACTATAAAGAGTGAGATCATCTCTTCTTATCTGACCCCAAACACTGCTTTGACCTTGCAAATACTGATAATCGTATGCTGTAGGATTTTAGATATGATAAAAAAAAAATAATAATAAGCACTTCCATTGTCTGCTGGTTGTTTTTATGGAGGATTGTTCATTATTCTTGTTTTATAATGATGAAAATCATGTTTTTTTTCACTTCTCCAATTTCTTTCTGTTAGAGATAAACAGTGACCCTTACCTAAATCTGAAGGTAAGGCGTCACATGTGAGCCTATGGAGGGCTTACGGGGATTCAAACTTCATAATGGTAAATATAAAGTTTGAAAGTTGATCACTTAAAATCAGATCAATACAAAGACAACACTAAGTGCTTATATTCAAGGTCTCAATACATACATTTTGTTTTTCCTTCCCCAGGTGATACTGCTGAAAATGGAAATTCTACAGAAGACAAACGTAAAAGAAGCAGACATCGAGGTGCAAAGAGCAAAACTAGGGAGGTGACAGATGGAGGAGGAGAGGGAGGAGGTGGGGGTGAACGCATTTTCTGGGGAGGCATGGTAAGAGGGGGGCAAATAGGTGCAGGAGGAGAAGGCAGGGTGGATGCAAGTGCGATGCGAGGGAGGGGAAGGGGAGGAGGCAGAGGGGCATTTAGGCAGGTGGGAGGGACCAGACAAGAAGGAGGAGGGGCAGCAGGTAGTCAGTGGGGAGGAGCTAAAAAGAAAGAAAGAGGAGGAGGAGGGGTAGGACAAAGGGGAGAGCAAGGTCCAACTGGAAAAGAAGGATGGAGAAGAGGTTCACCAGAAACTGCTGCAAAGAGAGGGGAAGGACAGAGCATGGATAGAAGTGGAGGAAAAGACAGAGGGAGGAGGCATGTTAGGGGAGACAGACAAGACAGAAATGGAGCGAGAGCAAAATCTGCAGGCGGAATGGGGGCACCACGGGGCAATGGTCTGGGCTTTAGAACACTGGAAGAACTCTCTTTAAAGGAGCCGTCTCTGCTGGCCATCACCCTGTCGACCAAACCGGGCCTACCTGAGGTCCTCAGCGAGACGATGATGAGGCAGGACCTGGTCGAACTCCTCTGCCTGGTTATGAGTAAAGCCTTCAAAGCCCAGAACAACAGAGGAACCCTGCAGTATCTGGCCCTCATCATAAAAGACTCCGGGTTTTTCCGCACCGTCCTGCCCCATTATCTGGTGGGCATGGTTTCAGAGTCCAACCCTCACCGCAGGGAACGATATCCACTGCAACTGGAAAACATCCTAGCCATTCTGTCTGAGGTAAACAGAGGATGGATGTACATAAATGAACAAATTAAAATAAGTTAAAGTGAGATTTTGCAACACGCAGATACGCAGATGTTCTCTCGTTTAAGGGAATGAAATCCTGTTTCAAACCTGTAATGCAAAGCAGTTGAGCAGTTGTAATACAATGTTTGAATGTCCTCCATTCTAAAGCAAGAAGCCATTGAAGGAGATGTCAGAGCCTTTGTGTAACCTTGTAACAATGTTCCCAAAACAAATAGAATAAATTAAAATGTAATAGTAATAACATTTTCTGTGTTTGTCTGTGTTCTCTTCCTTCAATGTGTGTCAGGTCCTCAACATGTACCCTGCCAGCTCGTTGCCAACTGTGAGTCTGTTGGTGACACAGATCAAACCAATCATTGACAGGCTCAGGGCATCAGGAGTCCACATCCAGCCTCAAGTGGAGGAGAGGGTGGAAGGGGTTCAAAGCCTGATCGAACACCTTGAGGAGAAATCCCGGGAGGGAACCCTGCGTTCAGATAAGGAAACTTATTCCCTATTAACCACTGAAGGTGAAAACCCAGTTAATAATTTTTACTTAGCACAACACTGCAAAATGACATTTTACTGCAAAACATTGTTTCATAGGTAAACAAGTTACTCAACGTCCTGCTTTTTCATACCCAGGTGAG